TATTATCTCCATTTTTACAGACTAGAAAATTGGAAGTCAGAAACGTTGAGATTTGCTTAAGGTTATACATAGGTATTAATAGTTTTAAGGTATTAATAGTTTTGACTCATCCCCAGAATTTCTGACTCCAAACTGAGTGCTCAATCCACCCTACTATAATTATCTCCCATTTTAACAATGAGAGCGTATGGCTGTACTTAGAAAAGGTCACAAAATAAGAATACTAAAATTATAGCATACAATCAGAAATTGACAGTAAGAATAACTGTTTTAAATTTTCACAGTGTTCTCATTCTAGAGAGAGCAATAATCACTACAGCTTTAGAGATTTAACCAAGGGTTTGCCAACAACAAAATACCATAATACTTTAGCTTACATCTAAGTCGTTCTAGTAGGGATTGGGGTTTGTTTTGTCTTTTTCTTTTTTTTGAGACAGAGTCTTACTCTGTCACCTGGGCTAGAGTGCTGTGGCGTCAGCATAGCTCACAGCAACCTCAAACTCCTGGGCTCAAGCGATCCTCCTGCCTCAGCCTCCCAAGTAGCTGGGACTACAGGCGTGCGCCACCATGCCTGGCTAATTTTTTCTATATATATTTTTAGTTGTCCAGCTACCTTTTATTTTTTTAGTGGAGACGGGGTCTCACTCTTGCTCAGGCTGGTCTCAAACTCCTGACCTCGAGCAATCCTCCAGCCTTAGCCTCCCAGAGTACTAGGATTACAGGCGTGAACCACCACGCCTGGCCTGTTTTGTCTTTTTCAAAACTCTTGCTGACCTCTATAAGCAGATGACACTCCACAATATGTTACAGATATACAGTCAATTCTCATTATTCACCACAGTTATGTTCTATAAAGTTGCTGTGAACACTGAGTTAACGAATACTGAACCATTGCTCTTAGAGGACAAATGGGCTTAGGTTCCTGCAAGCCTCTGGTCACAACATTTTGGTTAACCAAACAAAACATAACCTTGTTTATATGTATTTCTGTTTAAAGACACCTTATATATTGTTTTTTTTTTTGAGACAGAGTCTCACTACGTTGCCCTGGCTAGAGTGCCGTGGCGTCATCCTAGCTCACAGCAACCTCCAACTCCTGGGCTCAAGTGATCCTCCTGCCTCAGCCTCCCAAGTAGCTGGGACTACAGGCATGCGCCACCATGCCCGGCTAATTTTTTCTATGTATTTTTAATTGTCCAATTAATTTCTTTCTATTTTTAGTAGAGACGGGGTCTCGCTCCTGCTCAGGCTGGTCTCGAACTCCTGAGCTCAAACAATCCGCCCGCCTTGGCCTCCCAGAGAGCTAGGATTACAGGCGTGAGCCACCGCGCCCGGCCCACCTTATATATTGTTGATTCACAAACATTGAACTCATAGCTAACAGTGCTATAACTCATGACTGAGTGAAGTTTATCACACGTATTTTCTCTGTAAGGCACATCACAGCCTTCTTGCACTAAGAACACTAGACAGCACTTCAATGGTATGCTTGGGGGCCATTTTAGACAGCAATATCACCAACAAAAGCACACAAAAAAAGCAGGGAATGTGCAAGGAAGTGCAAATGTTACAGCCAGAACTACATCCATTAGAAACCAAATAAGATGGAGAGTAAGTGAACTATGCAATCAATTCAAAAAGCTAGAAAAAAGAAAACAGAATAGACATGAAGTAAATAGAAAATATGTAAAATAGAAAATGAGATTTAAAAATAGGTTGGTCCGAGTGCAGTGGTGTAACTAATTGATCACAACCAGTTACAGATTCCTTTGTTCCTTCTTCACTCCCACTGCTTCACTTGACCAGCCTTAAAAAAAAAAAAAAAATAGACTTGGTTATTAAAACCAAAAGTTGGTCTCTTAAGAAAGAAGAAAAATAATCAGAATTATGAATGAGAAAGGGATCATATAAAGATTACTTTCAGAATCATGAAAGTATGTTTTTATGACGGGAGTCAAGAATGCCTACTTAAGCAAGACACAAGATTAAAAACCACAAAAGAAAACATTAGAAGATTTGACTCCACAAAAAAAAAAGTTAAAATGTTTGAGAAATGAAAAACTCCATGAACAAAATTAATAAGTGAAGTAGAAGAAAATAGTTGTTACATATATGAGAAAGAGCTAAAAGCTATAATTGTAAAGAGCTGCTATAAACTAATAAGAAAATCACAGAGACCCAAATTTTTAATGCACAGAAGCTATACAAAGTTAATTCTAAAAAAAGCATGGCCAATAAACATTTGAAGGAATGTTCAACCATACTATTAATATAATCAAGAAAGTTAAAGCAGTTAAGACACCATTTTTCACCCATCAGATTCAGCAAACATTCTAAAACATGATCATATGTGTTGAAAAGGTTGTGCAGAAGCAGTCACTCTCATATACTGCTTTTATTTGGTTTTGCTTTGTTTAAAAGACAGGGTCTCGCTCTATCACCCAGGCTGGAGTGCGGTGGCATCACCTTAGCTCATTCACTGCAGCCTCGAACTCCTGGGCTCAAGGGATTCTCCTGCTTCAGCCTCCTGAGTAGCTGGGACTACAGGGACATGCCACCAGGCCCAGCTTGATATACTGTTGACGGGAAGTGTAAATTGGTAGTATTTTTGCAGGACAAGTTAGCAGTATGTGTTAATATTTTTAATTGTGTATACCTCTTTGAATCAGTTATTCTACATCCAGAAATCTATCCTATGGAAATACTTGAACATGTACACAAAGATATATGCACAAAGATGCTCACTGAAGCATGTTTTTGGATTAGTGAGAAAAAACTTTCTACAGAAATATCAGAAGGAAAATAGTTTAAGGATTACTAAGCAGTCATTAAAATGAAGGAGTAAATCTATAGGTACTTAACGTGAAAAATTTCCAAGATAAGAATCAAATGGCAAAAAGTGATGAATGCAAATGACATAGCGCAGTGCCATCTGGATATACGTGTATCACATATAGACACGTGTATACATATGTGTTGGGGCAAATGTGGCATAGAGACTTTCACGTTTTACCACATGTATTTTAAGGATTTATATATACACATTATATGTGTGTGTGTATACACATAGTATATAATATATATGTGTAATAATATTTGAGAAAAAGAAGAAAAAAGAAAATTGTTTGGAAAGAGATACATCAAATTGTTAGTTGTATCTACCTTAGAGAGGGGAGAAAGGAGAATAAAAGATTTTTACTTTCAACTCTATAAACTGTTAAAAAAAACAAAGTATTATGCAATATTTGTGAAAACAAAATTTTTAATATAAAGAAATAATCCATAGGAAAATACTTTTCAAAGACAAATGAAATGAACTCCAAGTAAGTCTACCTTAGCAATTTTTCAAAGTCACAATAAAAAAATAGGAAGGCATTGTGGTGTTTTACCTGGTACTTTTCCAGTTTTCTTTTCTTTACAACATAATTAGCAATTACTTCTAAAGAATTCCTCTCCTTTATGGAATATTACTACCTTCCAGACCTAGAGTTCAAAGCACAGTTAGCATAAGGCAGGATATCACCAGTAAGGCTACTTTTTTCTATTCCCTAATAAATATTAGTAAAGTATGTAGTTTGTCTGATTTCCAAAAAAGATACGCGTTTTTTAAAAATGTCACACATAAATACACATCGCACATTGTATACTTTACTGAGATTGCAGAAAGGTATTACATGAACATGAAAATAAGGAGTAAGAAAATGCTCAGTTAATGATTGCTAATATTAAATCACCGTCGCTAACATTGAGCATTTACTGTGTGCCAGACAGCAGCACGATTAGAAGCAGCATGACTTTGCACAACGACATGCTCTACAAGCCTAAATATTCTCCCAAGTGTATCCTTGGAAATACATAAAGCCTAACGTTAAAGGTAAAGGTACATAAATAAAGGAGGCATAAGGTTGAATAGAAAAAATTAAATACTAAAGAAAACTGCATGGTATTCATTTTGATGGCCGAAAACTGGCTCGCCCCTTTCCTGCACAGCACCAGCATGCACGCATTCTCGACTGAGCTCGCCAACATGCATATCGTTCCACGTTATGCCGCAGTCGTAGGGAGGAATGTAACGCAGAACACGACTTAACATCAAAAATGCACGCTGAAAGCATTTTTCTTCTTGGACGCCAAAGCACATCACCCCACCCGCGCCTTACCCGCCCTCCCTGTCCCACCCAGGCCACACTGGAGGACACGGACGTCCTGACGCATGTTCATTAGCCAGTTGCTCCCTCCATTTTGTCCCCAGTCTCCTTTAAGCAAACCGAGCGGCGCTATGTTAAAGACACCAAGTAATGAAACTAAAAAAGGGAGGAGGTGTGGGCGTTGGGAGCCCCACTGCTGCTGGGGACTAAACGGCTGCCGGTGCTGAGCGGAGCTGCCCGTGGCACCAAGGGCTCTTCCCGGAGCCGGAAGGACAAAGGACACTTGGGGGACAACTGCCGCTCAGCCAGCGCGGGGCGACTTCCGGGCCGATGGGCTCCGGCGGGGGTGGGCTGGGGCCGGGCCGACGCCCGCCGCAGGGCCCGCCCCGCAGGACAAAGCGGCGGCACCGCCCCTCGGCGCGCGCCCGGCGGCCGTGCACGAGAGCGCGAGCGCGAGCGCAGGGGACGGTTGGAAATGGCGGTTGGGGCGGTGGAGAGGGCTGGGGCGGGAAGACGGGCCGTCTCGCTGCGCCCGGGCTCGGTCCCGCCCCTCCCCGCCGGGAATCGGGGAGCCGGGGAGCTTCACTGGCCCTCCTCCTCCCTCCCTCCGAGTCCTGCTGGCCGGTTGCCGAGCTGGAAAGAAAATGTGACCCGTTCGAGTGAACAAAGGAGATGGCAGCCGAGGCGCCGGCCGGCCCGGAGAGGCCGCTGCGGGAAATGAAGAACATTCCCTAAGATGGCGGCCGGCGCGCAGAGACGGGGAGGGCGGGCGGCGCGCGGGGCGGGGCGCGGCGGGCCGGGTTTCCTCTGCAGCGGCCCTCGGCGGGGCCCGGGCGGGGCTGGGGCGCCGACTCGTCCGCATGGCTGCCGCTCCAGAGCCCGGCGAGCCCGGGAAGGGGAAGGTAACCCGGGGGCGGCGGGGCGCGGGCGGCGGGCCGGGGGAGAGCGAGGCGGGCGGCGTGTGAGGACGCGGCCTTGGTGCAGCGCCTGGGCCCGGAGCACGTGTCCCTGGCTTCTCTGCTACCCGTGGGTGTGAAACTTGTAACTTACTAGTCCCTCCCGTCATGCCACGGCATTCTTACCTAAATTGCCAGGATGATACCGACCAAAACTAGGGGAGGGGACCAGTAGTATTAATGACTTACTGCGGGTCTTTATGAAACAACTAATACTGAACCCTTCGGCGAGAAAATTTTGCTAAGGGCACTGCGCTGTAATTTGCTGGTGAAGGTTAATAGTAAAGGCAAAGAGGACAGGTACCTTGTCTTTAATGTTGTGCTCTTCACACTTAACATGGAGGTAGATGCGGAGGTATGAAAACGTAGAATTTATATCCAGCAGGATGAGGTGAAAGGGTTGAGATTTTTTTACCATTAGCTTTCTTTCGATCAAGTGGAGTGTACATTGTATGTGACCAGTGTCCTGCCTAGCTGGTGTCCTTGGCTTGGTGCTCTCCCCTCCTCAGTCGTCAGCGTGCTCCAACCTGCGAACTGGGAAATTTCGCCCCTCTGCCGAAAATCCAGTTGTAGCAGCCCATTTCTTTAAAACCCAAATTCTTAGTAAAGCTAAACCAGGCTCTCTGGTTTCCCTAGAAGGGCCTCTTCTGCCTCCCGAAAGCCACCTGAGGCGCTGCTTTCCCCATCTCCCCTGGCATCTTGTACATAGCTTTATCATTACAGCATTTATCGTATTGCGAGGTAATAATATATCTTGTCTTCTTTGCCTGGGCTCTTTAACAGCAGGGAACCCGACTTATATTTTCAGTGCAGAGCAAATAACAGGTGTTGAGGGAAAAAAAACGGAAAAAAAAATTTTAAATAGTAAACTGTGGAGATAGTAATATTGGATTACTCATGAGCAAACATTTATTGAAGACCTACTATGTGCTAGATGGCTCCTAATCTATGGGTTTTTTGTTGTTTTTGGTTTTTTTAGAGAGAGGGTCTTGCTATGTTGCCCAGGCTGGATTTGAATTACAGGCTCAAACGATCCTCCCAAGTAGCTGGGACTATAGGCAAGTGCCACGTGCTCTAACATACAGTTTTTTAAAAGTTATTCTCTACCTGGCTTGGAAATTTTGCTGACTTCTTGCTCTTGCTTGCTTCTCTTTTGACATTTCCATCTAAATTTGGCCAAGACATCAGATCATATGGTTAATATGAACAAATGTTGCATAAACTGTTTCCATATTTAATACCAAAACAAGTTTTGTCAATTCATAAACTATTGGTGGCTTTTCTGTTTTTACTGTCTCACACACTGACCATTTGGAATACGTGTAGTGTTAAAAATGTATCCATGTTCAAAACTTGCATATTTCAAGGTGCACCGTAACTACAAACACTAAATCCCAGCTCAGCTTTGTGATGAACACTGCGATCTTGTATGGGACTTTTTATTCCTTCTGTATCTGATTACTCATCTTTGACAGGAGATAACTGCTGTCTTTTCAGGGTCATAGGGGTGTCTAATCCATTGGAAATCAAAAAACGAACTCAATGAAAGAAAAAAAATGGATCAATATTGACCTATTTAATTGGCCCATCAGTAGCAAAATACTATTGTAGTCAGTGAAATGAAGGATAGCTTCAAGTCCTTAAAACAGCACTGTCAGATTTTGAGGGCCAAAGATGATAATAATAATAAAAAAAAAGACCTGCAAATAAATTGCTCTTGAAACAGTAGTACCTATCAAAGCTCATCAAAAAGATAACAAAATTGATAAAATGTAAGCTATGACTGATTAACAGCTGAGGGCAATGTCAGAAAAGGAAGCCTGCAGTTATTAAAAAGAATTTATCAGTCATCATGCTAGTACAACCCAGGGAAAAGGATTATTTGATTATTAGGATTAACAAGCGTAAGGTACAAGTGGGAGTTATCAAGCTAGCATACCTTGATGGAAGCAGCCCTTAAAAACTCTTTCCTTTGCCCCCTCATTCTTGTTCTTCAAGAAACTTTAAAATGTAAGATTTAGTATATACAGGTTAATTCACATCCAGGACAATTCTGAACTCGTTAATTCACCTAGTCAAAAATGTTTAGAGTACCTACTGTTAATATTAGGTACTAAACTAGGTAGGGGAATGAGTGAGTAAGACTCATTTGCTGAGCCAGCCATGCAAAGATCCAGGAGAAAGGTAGCATATGTTAGGTTATAACCACCTAGGCTTATTAGACGAATGGTAAGGCCAGTGTGCCTAGACTAGAGGTCAAGGTAAAGAGTGAGACACAAAAGGAGCTAAGTGCCAGATCATGTAGGGCCTTCGGAGTAATGGTCAGGAGTACGTGCCTTATTCTGAGCATAATCAGAGGCTATGGAGGGTTTAAAAAGGAGAATGACAGTCATCTGATAAGATTTAAGATATTATTGACATACAGTAATTTGGTAGGTAGTATAGGTTGAGTATCCCTCATCTGAAATGCTTGGGACCAACCAGAAGTGTTTCAGATTATGGAATACTTGCATCATACCAATCGAACATCCCCAATCCAAAATCCTCCATGAACATTTCCTTAGAATGTCATGTCAGCGCTCAGGAAGTTTTGGATTTGAGACTCAGAATGCTCAACCTGTAGTAGTAACAAAGTTGGTGAAAGTGGTTTGGTTCGAGATGTATTTTGAAGGTAGCTCCTTCCAGACTTGCTACCTTGGTCGTGGATTTGATGAAGGGAAGGAAGGAATCAAGGACAACTTCTGGGTTTTTGGCCTAAAAATTGGTTGAGTGGTGATGCCATTAAGAGGCAAGTTTGGAGGTAAAAATTCTATTTTGCAAATATTAGGTTCGAGGTGATTATACATGTAAGAGAGGTGTCAATAGGCAGATTGAGACTGAAGCTTGGGATAGATTAAGATTCAATTTATAAATCTGGAGTCATAACATAAATGGCATTTTATTGAAAGAAGAGACTAGATTCTGGAGGGGGTAAGGGTAACACTTCAGCATTCAGAGGTGGCAGAGGGAGGACAGCAACAAAGCTGCCAGGAATGGCCCATGAGATCAAAAGAAAACCAGGAGACATTGTTGTATTTGAAGCCAGGAAAAGAAAATGTTTCAAAAATGATTACCCATGCCACATGTGCTGAGATGTAGAGTAGGATGGACTTGGCAAAATGGATGTCTTTTAGAGACCTTGACTATAGTTTTTCTAGAGTGCAGTAGATAAATGCTTCATTGAAGTGAGTTAAAGGGAGAATGGAAGATTTGCAAGTGGAGAACCACACCTCAGTAACTAGTTTTGCCATGAAAGGGAGCAGAAAAATGGGATGGTACTTTAGGAGCCTGGGAGGCAGGGGTTGGGGGGTGTGGAGTGTGGAGTGTAGAGGGTTTTTGTTTTGTTAGTAAATTGTAATAGAGAAAATAATGATCCAAATGAAGGGGATAACTGTAGAATCTCTGAGTAGTCAAGAGGGGAATCAAGCATACAAGTGGCAAGACTGGTTTTAGATAGGAATAGGTCCTGTTCATCTTTTGCAACAGAACACAAATACGGGCAGTGATGGGATAGTGGTGGAAGATGAACTGGCTCTAATTTCGTCTATTTCCTGTACATTATTGAATTGACACTGTGGCTTAGAATCTCTTCAGTTTTGCTTAGTTCCATCAAGGTGAGCTGGGAAAGCTGCTTTTCAAAATCTAAGTTGCAAAAAAAAAAAAAATTAGTCAAAGATTTCCTTAATTTATGTTTAAGGGCGTAACTTCGTTAGTGGCAAAAGTTAAACCTTAAATTTGCAGGCTACATAAGGGAGTAAGAAAAATGTTAAACATAATACTTGAGTATGTAAAATATAAATAGAATACTGCAAAGGGATGAACTCTCTACCGAAGGGAAAATTGTGTTGTGGCATTAAAATCAAGTCTTCGTACATCCTTCCACCGTTTTAATACAAACTACAGGTAGATATATTTATATACTGACTTCATCCTGTCACTTTAGATATGTGACCATTGGAAAATTCTCCTCCCCAAGCTTTGGTTTTATTTAGCCAGAGTTATATAGATGCACTTTAGTTCAGTGGTAATGACATAGGCTTTTAGGGTCACACTGACTTCCACCTCCACTCCTGCCAGTGTTAACCTTTTTAAATCCTGAGCCTGTTTCAGAGACAATCTCAGAGAGGTGGTAAAATTATTGTAACTTGGGAGGTGTGGAACTGCAGCGCTCAATGATCAGAGGAAAAAGGTGTAGCATGCTTGGCAGTAACCAGCCCCTGCCAGCTCTAAATTATGAGATTGTTTAATTAGACCAGGGTTTCTCAGCCTTGGCACTATCAACATTTAAGACCAGATAGTCTTGGGTGTGGGGCTGATGTGGCTATTAGAGGAGGGTTTAGCAGCACCATCGCTGGCTCTCTTGGTTATAGAAGGTACCATTTTAAATGAGATCTGTAACTTTTGTAAGTGAACAAAAGTTCACTTTTTAAAAAAAAATGAGCTGAGATCCTTTCCAGCATTTCCAAATTTACTTTTTAAAAGTTTATCTACTTTTTCCTAAAGCTTCTTTTTCTTTTTTTTGAGACAGGGTCTGCTGCCCAGGTTAGAGTGCAAGTGTCCTCATAGCTCACTGCAACCTGAAACTTCTGGGGCTTAGCAGTCTTCCTGCCTCAGCCTCCCCAGTAGCTGGGACCACAGACAGGCATGAGTCACCATGCCCAGCGAATTTTTTCTGTTTTTGGTAGAGCCTGGGGTCTCACTCTTGCCCAGGGTGGTCTCAAACTCCTAACCCCAAGTGATCCTAGGATTACAGGCGTGAGCCATCGTGCCCAGCCCTAAGGCAATGTTTCTAACATAGATTCCAACGGCCCATCCCAAATCCAAGTCAAAATCTGAGGGTGACACTAGAAAATCTTCCTAAAAAGCTCAACATGCCTAGCTGGTTTTAGTTTCATCAGGGTGAGCTGATAAAGCTGCTTTTCTAAATCTAAGATTTAAAAATAACAGTCTACAAAATAATTAGTCTAAGAGTTCCTTAATCTTTAAGGTCTGAAACCACTGTTTCAGGCATTTGGCAAGTGTATTTGAATGCATTTGATAAGAACTGGGGCTAACATTTAGATTTTTGTCCAAGTGCTCCACCGGCCTGGAAGGGAATCCAAATGGGAAAGCTCGGAAGCCTTGAAGGAACTTTTGTTATTTTGCTGGAGGCAGGGGTCCGCTGCTTGGCGTGCTATGGCCAACCTAATATGTGAAAACCATCAGAGCTGCGGTTCTTAACACTTGCACCTAAGACCTGATAGTATCTCCACTCCCTCTAGCCCCAGCATACAACCCCTGGGGAAATAAGCTGGTTTAGAAGTAAGGGCATTAGTTCTGGACTGGAGGGCAGAGTCCAGCATTCCTTACCAGCACAGCAGCCACCCCCATACAACCATATAGTCCCCTGAGCTGATAGGGTAAGAAAAAAAAAAAAGTCTTTTTTTGCTAAATGAAAAAGCTAGAAGCAGAATTAAGTCCCCTAACCTCTTTGTATTGCAGAGCTTTTAAAGCCTGCAACTAAGAGCACCTGCTGTGCTCATGAAATCTGTTAGGAGTGTGCAGGGAGGGAAACAGGGAGAGGCAAAAGAAATAGAATGACAACCCAAAAGAGTATACAGTTTTTGCTTTATTATGAACCAAGTCACATTTCTGTCTTTTCCAGCAGATGCTTGAGCCAAAGACCCAAACACAAGCAAAAAATACAACTGAGAATATTTTCATGTTTCAACCTTTAACCTGACTTGCCTTTACTGTCTTTTCCCTATTTCTTCTAATCTCTTTTCCCTTAAAATATACTACCTTCTAGGTATCATCTCATCCTACAGTCCTCTTCCTCTAGCTTCATGTCCTGCCCCACACAATTCTAACCCACTTTGCAAACTATGAAACTTTGAAAGCAATGTTACTGAAAACTTACATTTACAGTAATCAAGTGTTAGAAAGTATCATTTTTAACCTTTTTTTTACTCAACAGAAATACCAGTTAAACATAACTATTAAATGTCTGTCCTGCTGCCGCCCTAACGTACAGTTTATAGCGATAGACATCCCAGTTAAACGGGGGAAAACAAGTCCATAAATCCAATGAAGACTGTAGGAAAAAAAAGAAGCCATTTTAGCAGTTGAAGGAACTTAAAACAGATTGAGAACATAGGGATACAGAAGTTAGTGGCAGAGCTGAAACAAAACCCAGCTCTGGATTCCCAGTTTTTTCCACCACAGCTAGCTGTGGTTACCATGCAGTATGAATGCAGTATCAAGTGCAAACTCACTTTTCACAGGCAAGAAAACTGAGACTAGAAGAGATAAATATATTGCCCGTGTTTATCTTCATGCGAAATATTTGCTGCAACCACAACTGTTGTTCATCTTGTTAACACCAACAAAACATGAAAATGGGATTTAAAACAGCATGTTAATGTTTTAAGCAAATGTGGTTGAAATTACTGGGATTATTACAGCAAACTATGATGCTTTTTAATTTCAGTGATAGCCAAATTCCCAAGTAATTTCATTTGAAGACCACATTAAAATATGTATATTCCTATTTCCAAATGAGTTGATTAGCAAATCAATACAAAGTTATCCTACTGCCTAGGGCTTTCTGATCAAGTTTTGAAGAGTTCCAATTTAAAGATTCAGATTGTATACCAAAGCAGGAAAAAGTATAAATTGATTTCAGACTATCACATGGCACATATTCTAGTCTAATAATCTCTTAACTGGGGAATGTGTTGTAATCTTTGCCAACCCACCCTGAAATAAAATATTTTCTTGTTCAATCTAGCTTTTTTTTTTTTTTTTTTTAAATCATAGCCATTTAAGCTCCTAGGAATCTTAGATGTTGCAAACATTCCCTGTGCACGGGATTCGGTATTATATGGTTCATTAGGATCTGTTGTGGCTGGCCTTGGACATTTTTTATTAACTAGTGAGTATCTTTTTTATTTCTCGTTGTTTTAAAAAAAATTTCTCTATGTTGATTAATAATTTTTTTCCAGAGTAACTATAAATGTATATAATGTATAGTTGGATTCTAATTAATTGTCCTGGTTATGCTTATTTTCAACAGGTAGAATTAGAAGATCATGTGATGTTGGAGTAGGAGGATTTATTTTGGTGACTTTAGGATGCTGGTATGTTTGCTAAGTATTCAAGAAAACCCATGATTAGAATAGGTTATCTAATAATACCGAAGCACATGCTTTTTTCAGAGCTATCTCCCATTGGGAGAGTCCCACCCAAAATGAAGAATGAATCTTGATTAAGGACTTTTTAATGGAATCTGTCTTACAAAACAACATTGCTGGAATGCCTTTACCTTTTAAACACATATATCCATATATCATATCACTCACTGCATGCTTGAACAGATGAATGCATGACATTAGACATTCCATTAAAACAAAGTGAAGTTATGGCTTCTACACTTCATTTAGGAAGGCCTCAACCTTTCCCTTATCCTAATGCCTATATCATTCCTGCTTATTCATCACAGCTGAAAGTGCTACTTTAAGAGTGTTCACAATTACTGATGAATATTAAAAAACATAGACACATCTCAAACTTATTTTCTTGAGCAAAATAAGCCAGATCCCAGAGTGCATTATGTACATACTCTATGGTTCTATTTATACATGCAGTTCTTTAAACAGACGAACTAAGCTAAAGTGATAGAAATCCTCATTTTATGTAGACATGCCTTAATTTTTAAAAAAGCATGTGTTCACAGGTATTTTGACAACCATCCCAAAATAGCACTCCAAACTATACATTTGTATTTTCAGTCTCAAGGTAGTTAACTGTAAGCATTTTTAAACTGTGTGATTATAAAGGGCAATAAATAAATTTCATAAACTAATTTCTATAGGCACTTTATATTACTAATTTCTTAATATTCTTTTCTTACAAGGTTCCATTGTAGGTATAATTATGCAAAGCAAAGAATCCAGGAAAGAATTGCCAGAGAAGGAATTAAAAATAAGATATTATATGAAAGCACCCACCTTGATCCTGACAGAAAACAAACCAACAGCGACAGCAGCAATTAAGCAATCTTGAGCACAGAAAACCAAACACAGCTCCCTGATGTCAACGTGAACAAAGCTGATATTAATCATTTAAACATTTTATGTACAGTAAGCTTGCAATCAAGTAAATAAAGTATGTGTAAGTTGCAGTCTTTTTTTTCACACTTGTATGATAACTCGTCAATTTATTCTGGCCTTGTTATCTACTACCAATGTAGCATTCTTATGTGTTGCATATAGTGGACTTGTCATACTTAATTTTTTAAGTGTTCTAAATGTTTTTTGGAAGTAGGCAGTCTTAATTTTTAAGTAAAATTAGTTTTGAATTCAAATATATGCATGGTATATATAAAAATACTTTCAGAACTTGTTTGAGAGACTGGTGCAATGGAAAAATTGTAGAATTACACTTATGTCATTACATCAATGTAAACAAGCCATTTGAAAGTCAATCAGCTGCCCCCATTAAAAAAATCCTTTAAAATACAAGTATAAAATTATCCAACATCCAAGTAAATCCTCAATATTTATTCATCCAGGAGAAATTCTCCCTTTCTAAGGAAATGAAGTTATTTTCTTGAAAAGTATTAATAGACATTATTTTTCAAGATCTAGTAAATACAACAAAACACAGCTAGATGCTTAAGTGCTAAAGAGATACTGGAAAAAAAAAATGACATCAGTTGACAGGATTGTAGCCATTATTGATTGGTCCTGTTACTCTGAAGTATCATGGCAAGCCACTGAAATAGAGCAAGGAAGAAAAGTCTTCAAGGAAAAGTGGGGCTTGCTCCAGATCAATTCACAAGAGAACATTTTCCCTCCCATGCCCACCTTCTTTTTAGCTGTCACTAGGAGAGTTAGGGTACAGAGGTTGTGTGGTTTACCACGTGCCTTAACTACCAGTGAATGACACTGTTAAACACATGTTCTGAGAGAAAATTTTTACTGATTCTAAGCTGGCAGCCACCAAAAGAGGGATTAGGACATTGCTAAGAAAAGGTTAACAGAAAGGAAAATGCAATTTTGCAAGATCTGCCCACTCTTACTAGCACAAACCAAAGTTGAGTGCAGTCTACATTATTCAAACTGATCTCAACCAAATAATCGTTTAAAATTCCAAGTGACACTAACCCATAGTAAGAAGCAGCATTGCATGAAGGGGGTAAAACACTGAAGAGCACTACTAAACAATCTGGAGCACTAATAATCTGGTATTTAACAAACTATATGGACAGACCACTTATGCTCTCCGATTGTATGCAGTCGTCCCTGGGTATCTGCAGCACATACCCAAGTTCCTTATATAAAATAGTACTGGCACATACGTATGCACAACCTCCCATATAGTTTTTAATTTCTTTTTTGAGACAGTGTCTCGTTTTGTTGCCCAGGCTGGTTTCGAACTCCTGTATTCAGAGCAATCCTCCTGCCTTAGCCTCCTAAGCATCTGGGATTACAGGTGTCTGCTGTACCCAGCCTACCATGAACCATCTCTAATTACTTATATCTAATGCCATGCAAATGCTATGTAACTAGTTGTTATATTGTATCATTTAATGTTTGCATTTTTGTTGTTCCATCGTTATTGTTTGGTTTTCCCAATACATTTGATCTGCAGTTAGTTGAATCCAAGAATATAGAACTGGAGTATATATGGAGGGCTGATGTTCTAACATGTGTAACATGTAAAACTGGGCAGACGGATTAAGTAATTAAAGTCCCTTCTAGCTCTAGCATACTGCAGTTACATCTTACCCTGAGTAAGAGAGAAACAAACCTCTTGGCTGGTAAAATTTCCAACGCCTTCACCAGTAACAAGGTCAGTTCATTTTCACAGCAGAATGATTGTATAAATTGGAGACCTGGATAAAAACAAAGGTGTAACACACTTACTTGGTGGGATTACTTTTTATTTTCTTCTTGAACTATTAAGATGTTACAAAATGTATCATTCTGTAATTGTTCTCAACATTTCCAGTAACTTCATTCAGTTTCTACTCTGCCATAAAACTTCCAAGTCCAAACTGTATTAAGTTATGCTGAAACTTCAGCCCACCATGACCTTACCTTAATCCAATTTGTTCATTCCACTTGAAATGCCTTTCCTACCTTCTCCATAACTTTCCATTCTTTTGCTCACTCACCTCCGGGGATTAATCACCTTTTCACTTAAGTTCTCAATACTATGTTTTATCTGTTGTAATAGTTGACTTTTATTGGTCACTGGTGTCTGCTACCACCACTAGTGCATAGAGCCTACGTTTCTTGTTGGCAAGAACCTTGTCCATTTTTATCTTTACATTCTCAACCAAGTATCTGGCACAATATAGTCAAAAAATGTGTTAGATTTAATGCTCACCACCAAATGGTGTCCAAGTTCCCCTCTCATCTAGACTTTCACACTTTGCAAATCTTAAGAGTAACCTACCTTCCACGCCCACATGGAGCCTCCAGAGCACTGCTTCCTTCATCGTTCCATTAATTCCGAAATTTCACACTAGGTGACATAGCAGTAGGTACCAGCTAAATAGCTGATTAAAATAGAATTGTGGTCATTAGTAGTCTTAAAACCTTTTTGTGGCTTATCTATCATATCTACTTTTTAAAAAATCTTTCTAGTGCTTTATGCATCTCCCCCTTCCCTTTGTCCCTCCCTCTTTTGTTTTTCCTTGACTACTTGTTTTTCCATCTCAGTAAAAGGGCCTTAGGGAATTTCAAATTAACTAGTTTTTCTCTGGATTTGTAATTTATGACTGAGTCTGTCAACGAGAAACTGACTATCCCTGGTACCATTATTTGATTTGCAAGCAGCTCTTTAGTCTACGTACCTCTACTCCATCGCTGGTTTCCCTTTGCTTCGATTATATAATGCGAGGAGGTCTATATAATAAATTCAGGATTCCTGTTTATGCACTTTTCAGCAAAGAGCTAGGTAACAAATAGGGTTTGAATCCTTCTATTCCTAGATAAAAATCTGCGATGGGGGTCAAGACACCCCTTTAAAAGTCATGTTAAGACATACACTATTTTGGGGGTAACAAGAAGACCTTAATAAGGAAAGTAGAAAAATTAAAACGATTGCTGTAATTCTGATTTTCAGTGGTCCTCTAAAGTATTTTCTGGAAGCATCTTAAAATAGTCCAGTAATCATGTCAGGTCAATATAATATACCAATATTCTCTACCACCCAAATACTGGTATTTTACACAGCTTGCTTTGCACATTAAGTTCCATTTTAAAATGTTTTTAAATTTTTCATTAAAAGGCAAGATGGGGTGACAAAAAGTTTTATCATGAAAGTGTTACATTTTAAAGTTTATAATATGAGCACTACAGATACACGTGTTGCAAATATTTGAGTGCTTTTCAACCACTGCATCTACCTTACTCTTCCATTTTCTAGAGTAAGGATGACATGAGTATTTTTATTTTGAGACTACTGTTGATCACAATAGGCAAATACTAATTTTAAGAGGTTTCTATTGTTCACTTTAATGTCAGTGTAACAGCTGGTATCTGTTCTGCTTTTTCTAGGAATAATCAAGTCCTGTATGTTATGTGCCTTATATGGCACACCCTTAAGGGATACCAAAGTAACTTATCTCTGCATATACTGGTTTCTTAAAGGATCAAGTTTCTACAGAAATGTTTCTTCCCCTATAAAGACATTATGAAAGTCATGTGAAATAAAACATGCCTTAGCCTTACCGTCTATATTCAAAGCTTATTTTTGAATGTTTCCTTTTCTAGTTTTATGTATTTTTTTTTCAAATGAATAGACTTGGTTATGAAACCTCAAGTTACATGCTCTTCAGAAGTCATTATATTGCTTTCTATTTGTCAGCAAAGCCATGTTTCATTAAGAAGCGAACCCTGACAGGTACATTTGGAATAACAGCACCCCAAGTCCTCTCATTTCACCTAAAGACATTATTCTGGAATATGTAGTGGGAAAAATAAGTTTTCTCTAAGCTTATCAAGTCTTTTTCAGGAAAGTGAGAATTAAATGCTCTGGGAACTGACACAATCAAAGCTCACATCAAGCTTTCCCATTCCTTCAGCCTTTAAATTTTAAATTTACTTCCTGGTTGATTTTATATACCTCCCGACACAAATTTATGTCACTTCGTTAACTGAAAGGACCTCAACCTGTTTTTCAAATTTTCAAAAGCTAGTAAAAAGAAGTATTTGTGTATTTAGTATAAATGCAAAAAAGATTTTTGGAAACTGAGGACGGAAAGGTATCCTATCCTAGACTCATTGTTTTTCATTACAACACTGTAAGAAAGTATTTACTTAAACCCTGTAAGTCTGAATCTTAAATTCAGCTAATTTTTTTTTTTAAAAAGCCCTACAAGTAGGATGTTAAATGTCTTGCAAAGTTAAAGAGAAGGAACTGGAGCCACCAAGAAAATGGACCTAACCTTGAACGGACTCGGGTCTACTTGCATATACTCCCCTAAACCTAAGCAAGAGGACTGCCAATTGCTAAGATATACTTCAGGTATGCAAAAGAGAAATTAGAACACTTTTTTTCTGTTACAGAGAATCTGTCCATCTGATTACCAATTACTTTCCCCCCCATCTTTTTAAAACAATTAGAGTCCTATTTAAGGTGATCCTGGAAGCCTAACATAACAATTGCTAAATGTACAAGCAATTAATTTGGAATACCTATTAGAATCACTGGAACACATTTAGTTGGGCCCTTTTAACTCTTCCACACAGCACATTCACATGGACAGACTAAGGAAAAGGAGATGAAATTTAAATCAGCATTTTTTTGCTTTATTACTTTTCAAAAAAAAAAAAAAAGCTGGAACCTTGTGTTCTTGTACTTGACCATGACTCCCCCGGTTTCCCTTTACAAACAACTGATACAGGCTACCTCAAAAAGTCATTTAGTTGCCATTCAAAAAGCCCCAATCATTCATGTGAAGTATTAATTTTATCTCATCTTCTCTATGTATACTTTAATACTTTCAAAGCATTTGTCAAGTTTGACAATGCGTTCATCCACCGCGACTCCCCGAAAGGACTTCCAGAGTTCAACGGGAAATCTCAAAAGAGACTATGACCTGTGAATCACCCAACAGACCACACAGAACTGGAATGCACCCAGGGGCTTCTCCAAAAAGCATCTCTATTAAGATACTTAAAGGAGAAGATACTTATCTTTCCTTTTATTGGCCCTGGAATAGTTTTCGTCATGCAAATTAGCAGATTCTAT